TGGGGTCCTGGTGTCTTCTTGGATGCTGGTCCCAACCCCCCGACTGACCCCCACTCACTAACAAGCAGAGTGGCCTATTGGGCTGGTGGCATTGATGTGTTAGAGAGGGGAGAACCTCTGTTGATATCTATCAAATCTCTAAACGACCTCTCCACAGCTTTTACAAAAGCTGCCTGTATCCAAGCCATGCATCAGCGTAATCCTACCGATGTTTCTCTTTCAGCACCTGTAGCTCCTGCTATACTCAAACTACTAATAAAAGGAGCCCCCGCCATGCTCAAACCTTTTCTCATTGCAAAACGGGATGAGATCCAGAGAGACTTGAAATTATAACGAATTGATAAATCTACCACGAACTGTTTATAATAGTGAGGAAGTAGACTTAGAATTAAAAGGATTACCCACTTGGGCCACATTAATGCATGAAGCTATAAACCATGCCTGAGAAATGGGATGGAATGAAATTCCCAATGAAACAAAAAATACAAGTCACACTGTCAAGCAAATTAAACAATCGCATCAAAAGAATTCTCAGGAACAAAACCCCCCTGACCGACAATCCAGGGGTCAGGAATGGAGAAATGAGCTATGGAAGCAAGCACTGTCACTAGGAATTCTTAGAGCCGCGATTCAGAGGCAGCCTACTGGCGTCATTCTGAGCCTAATTCAGGCATTTCAAAGATGTAACGCTCCAAATACTCCAACTTCCCCATCGCCAGCTCCCAGGAAAAAAGATAATCCTTTCCTCCCTCAAGGGGATCAGTTACAAAACACAAGATCGAAAAACTGATAAGGTCCGGACGGCAATTGGGCCTGCCAGTCCGGCAAGTAAAAGCTTATCAGTGGATAAATGAGAACGGCCCTTACATTCTAATACCAGTTGGTCCGCAACAACAATTAATATATTTTTTAATTGATACTGGTGCACAAATTTCAATAATTACACAGCGACATGCCGACAAGCTAGGCATACGACCTAGCCGGCGAAAGGTTAAAATTACCGGAGTTACAGGAACTAGCGCTGTGTGCCAGACAGCAAAACTTAATTTGGGGCTCCCTGGCGAAAAACGTGTAACTCCTCTTTGCTTTGCGATTAAGGAGCACTGTGAAAACATCCTGAGTTTTGACACATTGAACGGCCGCATCGGGCGTTTGCCAGACGGCAGCCTGTGGTCCTGCGGTTCAATTGCCAACCCTCACCCTAACAAAAATCAACCAACTGCCACAGTGCGTGTACTCCGTGCAGCTCCAGCACTTCCCGAATCAAAAATTACTAACGTCCCACAGTACCCTATTTCTGCTGCAGCACGAACTGGGATTTCTAAAGTAATTGCAGACTTAGAAAAACGAGAGATTATTTCCCGAACTCACTCCCCATACAATTCTCCTGTTTGGCCAGTCCGTAAACCAGATGGGAGATGGCGTTTAACAGTCGATTATCAGCGTTTAAATGCTAATACAGCCCCATTGACAGCGGCAGTCCCCAACATTGCAACTTTAACCGCTACACTGCAAGCAGCCGCACATCCTTGGATGGCAGTGCTAGATGTAAAAGACATGTTCTTCATGGTCCCCTTAAGGGAAGAAGATAAAGAAAAAATTGCCTTTACATGGGAGGGTATCCAATACACCTTTAACAGACTCCCACAGGGATATAAACACTCACCCACAATTGCTCATGCTGCACTTGCTGAACTTTTACAGACAGTTTCACTCCCTGAAGAGGTAAAACTGTATCAGTATATAGACGATATTCTAATTGGAGGAACCTCTCCTAACAAGGTGGGGGAGGTGGCAGCAACAGTTTGGCCAGCATTGCATGAGGCACAAATTGAAATTCCACCTGAAAAATGTCAGGGACCAAGTAAAGAAGTGAAATTCCTGGGCACTTGGTGGATTGCTGGAAGTGCAGCAATCCCACCAGATACTCTAAATAAAATAGAACAATCAGAAATGCCACAATCTAGAAAAGAATTACAACAGCTAATGGGTACTTTTGGATACTGGAGAAAACATGTACCTGGATTCTCCATCATTGCCCGTCCACTGTATTCACTTTTATGAAAGGAAAATCATGGAGATGGGACTCAGAACACGAAGAAGCAATTAAAACTCTGCTACTGGAATTAAAAACATATCAATCCCTAGGACCTGTTCATCCCCATGATCCTATTATAGCGGAATGGGTTTTTGCAGAACATGGTACCTATTGTAATTTATTTCAAATCGGCCCTGAGGGGCCAAAGAGACCTTTACTGTTTAGCTCAACTGCATTTAAATAGACAGAGCAAAGATATTCGGAGTGGGAAAAGGGTCTTTTGTCTTTAGTCCGTGCAGTTAAACAAGTTGAGAAAATTCATCAAGAACAAACTGTTCAGACCAGAGGTCCCTTTAATTTATTAGACACAATCCTAAAAGGGACTGCTCCCCCAGAGGGAATTGCACAAAAACCTACAATTAGGAAATGGTGTGCCTATCTAGTAGGTGTGGTAGATGAAATGCAATTAACTGAAGGACACACAAAAGTTTCTAAATTACAAATGCCTGTTAATACTGACCCGCTAGCATTACAACAACCATTTAAACCTTCACCAATTTTAGATGCACCCCCCTTCACTGAAGATTCACCAACAGAGGGTGTCTGGTTTACTGATGCCTCAGCAAAAAGAGTGGATAGTAAATGGCGATACAAAGCTGTTGCATTAGAAATCAAAACAGGCAGACAAGTTATTGAAGAAGGTGAAGGCAGTGCTCAAGTAGGAGAGTTAAGAGCAGTTGTTTTGGCAGCACAAAATGAAGCAAAAACCATTTATGTAGACTTTTATGCTGTCTGGGCAGGTGCCACACAGTGGCTTTGTCAGTGGGAAGCCCTAAACTGGGAGATAAATAAATCGCCAATCTGGAGGACTGCAGACTGGCAGTTACTATTAACCATGGCCAGAAAAACACCATTCCAAATAGGATGGGTAAAAGCCCATGCAAAGCCCATGCTAATGACAATAAACCAGCTACAAATTGGAACCAAAGGGTGGATAAATTGACAAAAATTAGGAAAATAGACATTGAAAATTCTTCAAACCCCACATGGTATCGATTAGGAGAATGGTTACATCAAAAATTAGGCCACACAGGTCGAGAAGCACTTTACTTTTCAGCTCAAAGCCGGGGATGGCCTCTCAGTAGAAAAACATGTGAAACCATCCTCACTGAGTGTCCCCAGTGTAAATTAAAATTGCAGATGGACCATCCTGCCAAAGAACCACCTTTACACATTAAAGAGGGGAAAACTTTGTGGTCCACTTGGCAAATTGATTACATTGGTCCTTTAAAATCCTCTGCTGGGTACAAATATATTTGAACAGGTGTAGAGATAATATCTGGACTTCTTACAGCTACCAAGTGCCAAAAGGCTAATGGACAGAATACTATTCGAGGCCTTTCCTCAAGGTTCTCAATTTTACCTGTCCCTGATTCAATCCAGAGTAACAATGGCTCGCACTTTACCAGTAAAGAAGTACAAGAATGGGCAAAGCAAAGAGAAATAAAGTGGTATTTCATACACCTTATTAACCACAATCTAATGGTATAGTTGAGCGAGCCAATGGACTGCTAAAAATGTATCTTAAACCACATGAAGGACAATGGGACAGCTGTCTTTCTGAAATTATACAGCAGTTAAATAATCGGTATGGTCCCTATGGAAGCCCAATTACTCGAGCCGCCTTAACATTTTCTTCAGAAAAAACCCTGAACAACGAGCACACCTGGTCCTCAATGAAAGCAGGACTACCTGTGGTGGCAAAAATACCAACTGTAGGAACAATACAAGTAACCCTGGTCAAGCCACAAGGACTTATATCATGGGATGCTATTGATAGTAACGGAATAAAACATAAAATCAGTACTAGATGGATTTATCCAGCATCCTGAGGGGTAACCTGAAGTGCTAAGGCTTGGACAATAGGCCCAAGTCAGAGCTGATCTATAAATGAACTCTGTATATCTTATAACTGATAACCAACATGCTAACAGGTATTATACTAAGTTATAATAAACCACCTATCCTAATGTAAAGGGTGCAAGTGTTGAAGCCTGATCAAAAGGCTCTGAAACAAAACTGTTAACTTAGAATGTAATCCTTAATAATACATACATAGAGGATGTCTTGAATGTATCTTTCCTTCCCTTTGTATGTGAATAGAACAACAGAGTCATGGAGGCAGGTGTCTGTCACAGAGACCTGATGTGAGACCTTGCACATAATCCCATCAGATAAGCAGAGAAACTCCTTTGGCTTCTTCCTTGAGCCCTGGCCAGGCTCTGGGGGGAACCTAATGTGAGACTGAAGCCAGATGTTTCCGCTTGAGTATACAAGGCTGGACCTGCTCACAGCGACTTTGGAGGCCTCACCTATGGGTGGACGCACCACGTAGGACTTCCCATTTGCAGGGAAAGGCTCCCCAAATCTTCACTGTGACTGGGGCTACCCAGCAATTGCAGATCTGGATGATAGTAAAGTATGCAAGTGGTGATGTATCTTTCTTAATCACTATTCTCTCCCTGGCAGTAGCGATTTGATGCATTACTCTGTATGTTCCTAATTGTTTAAGTGCACTATTCTGTCCTGTCGTATATTTTCCTATATTATTATATTATTATTTTGAGTAGATACACCTACTTTTTCACTCTGGGATCTGAGTCTAATTGATATCCCTAATCAACAAAACATAACCTGTTCAGTCTCCCCCCCCCCCGATTTATCTTTTCTTTCCTTTTCAGAAATAACCAACTCCACCAACGACATCGTGGAAACAAACACCACATCCAGCAAGGCTATCAGCAGCACTGTGGAAACAACCCTCATCTTCAGTATAAGAACCTCTGCAGCATTGTGCCTACCCATTTACATGCTCTATGCACAGAAAACTGGACAAAAGACTCTTATCATGGTTCAGTATGATATAGAAGAAATACATCAGCTGCTAACAAGTCGAAAGGGATGGAGAACATTGGTGGTGGGAAAGCTTATTTGGATGGTCACCAACCACAACAGGACTGTTTAATTCCATGTTCTACCCAGTCATGATTTTCTGAATTCTAATTTTAATATGTTTACTGCTCATAATTGTGTTGTATATTAAAGTTTGGAGAATGGTTAAAATTGCTCAGTTACCAAAGTATCCCCGTGTGTATACTATCCCAAAATAATTTTTTTTCCTGAAGCTAATCAAACACAAAATTTCCTTCAATTATAACTAGATTATGGCATCCTCTGTTTATAGGCATAGAGGCAAGAGGCAGCCACACTGCCACTCTATGGACAAGATAAATTTACTTTAGTCACGGGGTGGATTGTGGTGGTGCAATTCTTACCCCTCCCTGCCCTCCTTGTTGGGCTGCTTGGTGCCAGGTGTGATTCCATCCACATTCCCCCAGGCCATACACCAATCTGTGGAGATAAGGACTGATAACCTTGAGGAGCCCGGCTCCTGCCCCTCCCAATTGCTTGGAAAAGGTTATAATGGCCCATCATCTCCTGATGGCCTGACACACCTGTGCCTGGGATGTGATCAGATGGAACAATAACAGGGTTGCATGTTATTCAAATTCTTGTGCAACTGCTGGAAGGCACCAGATAGTATTTGACAAAAGTCAATTATCTTGGACCCTATAAATTGCGACCACCAGAGAGACCCTTTGAGCTCTCCTGGATCGCAGCGGGCCTGTGACCAGCATCTCCCCTGAGCTGGGACGCCTCTCAGGTGTTGTCTGCTCCAGAGGGAAGGCCAGGGCGAAGTCCACCCGCTCGAGTATCAATTATCGCCCGTTGAGGAATGCCAAGGCATTGTGAGTATTTGCTCTAAACTCGAGAGGGAAATTTTCTTTGAGCTAGCTTCTATTTCACCTGTTTATTGGGGGGTGTGTGTGTGTGCGTGTGTGTGTGCATACGTACCCTTACCCTTGTTCCTGTGTGCTTGTCCCTTTTGTGTTTATTTTACCAAATCCAAACCCCTTTGTTCCTGTATGTATATGTCTGGTTTGTGTATGCGCATGTACATATGTGTATAAATTAAGGTACCGTTAAGTAAATTAAGAGTGAATCTTGTCATTTTAGAACCTGAATAAGTCGCTTTTCTTTCTGAGCTATTTTGTATTGACAAATAGTTGTTAGTTATTAATAAATCTAGATTATTTTCTTAAATCATTACCGTGTCAATACTTTCATCCGTGACATCCTCCACTTAAATAATCTTGGTAGCATCACTTAAAATTAACAAGGTTATTCCAAGTTAAAGCAATGGTACACAAGAATGCAAATAAACCTGTCTTTTAGCATCCTTTCAGCACCATTTAGACATGACAGAGGTCTCCTGTCAGCAGCAGAGCCAGCCACCAAAGCTGGAGAAATAATTTTAATGGTGTCTGATTTCCTACCCTTAGAAGTATTTGTTGAGATCTGCTTCAATCCAGGATGACTTTGGGAAGCTGATTCTCCAGATACATGAACTGTAACAAGAGATGTAACTCATGTTGAGAATCTGCTCTATCTGAAGATAAAGCCCATTAAAAGTTCAAGGGTAATGTTGGTTGTCCTTAGAGAATGTAGTTATATTGTTTAAACTATCACAGTCAAGCATACAGTGAGTAGAGAGAAAAAAAATTTGAGGACAGCTTTAACTGGTCTGTTGCCAGAATTGAGGCTTTATGTATGGGTGCTGGGGCTGCACTAGGAGATAATCCATTGCCATCACAGGCCACGGAAGAGAGAGAATTCCTAATTCTGAGGCTCACACTTGGTGACAAGTGGCTCAATAGCTGCATCAGGGTGAAAGAAGACAATACAATGCTTGGGGTAGTCCTAGAATGTAGTTAAGTCCTAGATGTAGTTAACCTATGCCTAGAGCAGGCTTAGTGAAAACATGTGCCTTTTCACCTCAATTAATTTGAAGTGTCATTTTTGATCTGACATAGGCATTATGAATAATCCACCATGTTCATGCATTAATGGTGAATCTGAAGTATTTTTTTCACGTTATTATTGAGTAGTGCTAAGATGCGTGTATTGTAACAGCCACCAAATTCATAAACAGCCTCCAGAGAGGAAATGTTCCTCATAGCTGATGTAGCATGATCAAGGCCAAGGTTTAAAGATGCTCACTTTGAAGCATATTAGAGGTCACTAAAGACATGTCAAGTGGTCATAAAAGCCTGAAACACTCAATTAGTAGTTGTTCCTTTCAGTTGCTCTAGTAATAAAGTTTTAGAGAGAAAAATCTATGAACTTGATTAGGACAGTTTGCACCATTCAGAGTTATATACTGTTCAGGTATCCAATTTTTTCATGTTTAGGTTATACTTGCAGCTGAGACATTACTATAGATATGTTTATTATGTAGAGATATTAAGTTTAAAAGCTTGAACTCTGGGAAAATAAAGTTGGAAATTGTCAAGCAATTCTCCAAATCCAAGAGACATCCATAATTCAGATGCACTAAAACAGGCCCAGAAAATTTAATCATCACCTCAGTATCTTTTTAAAATATTATTCTGTACCCATTTTGCAGTCTACTGATCTGCCTCACGTTTTGTACCAAAGGTTTTCCTACTCAGGTGGGAATGGTGGATGTCCACAGTGGAAAAGGAGAGCATTTTAGATGGTTTATGTATGATTCAGACTAATTTTTCTAATGTTGATTGTCCATTTTTAGTAAAAATCTGGATTTTAATCTAAATGCTTGTGGCATTAAACATTGTTTCTTTATAGATCGTAGTATAATAACAATTTAAACATAAAAAGTCACATTCCACTGTATTTATAGGCTTGGAAAGGTACTAACATGGAAAAAATAAAATTTGACAAATTATAATATCATCCAAGGGTATTTTAGGAAAACATATGCTGATAAGTGGGTTTGTTCTTCACTATCATGTTCATATTGTGTCATGTTCGCTTTTTCTGTTCTCTGCTTTGTTTTGGACCCTAAAATCTTCTGCTGGTTCCCACCTGGCAGAGAGAGACACCTGGAGATCATAGATTATCAACTGAACATTTTCCAGGGTAGATATTCAAAGAGAAGACAAATCCGAGTGATCTTTAGCCTTTCTAAAGTATACTTATACTGTGTATTGTACTGCCAATCTGTGAAAGAGACTTGAATCTCAAAGCATTTAAACTTCCGTTTGCTTGAAATTCTACATATTTATGAATGTCATATGCCCTGTTCAAGTTTTAAAGTGTTTTAGAGCAATTTGTAATTAAAGGAAAAGAGGGTATCTAAGACTTCAAATACATATATTCTTGCAGTGAAAAATGGGATTAAAGATACTATTTTTGTCTCTAATCTTACTTTCTTCATTTTTGAGTTAAAATGGTATTAGCTTCTTTATGTGTAGCTGACTCACCAAAGCAGGACTGCTTCTGTCATATTTTAAATAATCAGTGGTCTGTTTTCATTAATTTGACAAAAAATCCTGAGAAATATTTGCCATAACAGCGAAGGGTTTTACTTTAAATAAATATTTAATACCTTCCTGTGACTCATAGCTGGGACAAATGGCCAGAGGAACTGAGCTTTCATTTATTATCATCAGAGAAATAAATTTAAAAACCCCAAATGTTGCTAACACATTAATCAGTATAATTGGTAATCAAGGAGTGCTTCTTGTCTGACTGCTGAAGATATGACAGTGTCCCTCTTCTCCAGCCACAGTCTGGGGACGGAATGGGCTGTAGGGCCAGGGCAGGTTGCCTGCAGCTGATACAATGTGACCCATGAAACAGTTTCACTTGCATTTTCTTTCGAAAAGTATGTGCTGGCCTGCAAGGCTGTCTGAAGGGTTACAATGGTCTTAAAAGTTTCATTTTCAGGACACACTTGTTTCAATGAGGTTTAATCTGATGTGTTTCGTCTCATGAAATTCAAGGTGACAGGGTTTTTTTCCAATTTTAAGGGGGTTGTTGATGTCACCTGGTGATTCACTCTTTCTGGGTGTCTCACATATTTCCGTATTAAGTATGGAAGTGCTCGGGCAGTTGGATTAGATGTTTGTTGTAGGTCCCTTCCAACTGAACCATTCTAGTCTAAATTGAATCAAGTTTTTACTTGTCAAGTAAAAATCTAACCCTGTGGACTCAACAGCTATTCTTAATTTTATAGATTTTTTGTCTTTTCACTTGTTATAAAAGAGGGTTAGTAAAATAAATAACTACTGGTTTAAAGTCAACATATGTGTTTTAAATAGTTAAATTTTAGAACAAGTGGAAAGAACGGTTTTGTTTGCAGGAGTTCAGTTTCTTGTGAGGACCTCTGAAATGCAAAGTATTAGGCTTGACTGTGTGTGTATACTTCATGTTGTTAGGTCTTTACACTATCAGGGATGAACTGACTGCACCTCTTTTTTTTTTTTTTTTTTTTTTAATTTTATGGATTCACTCCATTCTACCAGAAAATAGCAGATAATTGCTCTATTATGTCTATTATGTACCACTGCACAGGTCACAGGTCTCAGAGAACTAGAATGTGTATTATATAGCAAACTACAACATCTGTAGATACCAAATATCAACTAAATAAATGTTAATCTCTCATACCTGAAGTTTTTATTCATAAAATAAAAAGTTGCTACTGTAAGGTCAGCATATTACACAATTATAAGATCCTAGCTCTTACTACTGTGAATGCTAAGTTTTTAAGACAGTCCTGAATTCCTTCTGTGTTCTTTGCTGTACTTACCTAATTACTTACCTAATTTTTAGCATAAACTCCTGGGATCAGATCTTACCTGTAGTACTGTGACAGTACAATAAGGCATGATGGATTGTTTCACACACTGTGAATAATCCCAGAGATGTTACATAAAATGTTATTAAGCCTGTGGAAATGGTGGAAGCTGTTTTTCACTCTGTTAGTGAGGACTACCACAGTCTTACAGTAATCTACACGCAAGTTGAGATACAGGGCAAATTTATGCATGTTACTGTAAAATAAATGAGTGTTATGTCTAAAATGGTAAACTGACTGTAGCTGAGAATTGGTTTTGATGCCTGTTTGCAAACCAAACACCCTTC